ATCTGTTTAGATAATTCACAGAATCACAGAGTCACCGAATCACAGAATGTTCGGGGTTGGAAGGGACCTCTGTGGGTCATCTAGTCCAACCCCCCTTCAGTTTGTGCCCATTGCCCCTTGTCCTCTCTCAGCCTTCTCTTCTTCAGGCTAAACAAGTCCATCTCCCTCAGCCTTTCCTCATAGGACAGATGCTCCAGTCGCCTCATCATCCTCGTAGCCCTCTGCTGGACTCTCTCCAGTAGCTCCTCAGATTTCTTGAACTGGGGAGCCCAGAACTGGACACAATACTCCAGATGGGGCCTCATTAGGGCAGAGTAGAGGGGGAGAAGAACCTCCGTCGACCTGCTGGCCACACTCCTCCTAATGCACCCCAGGATCCCATTGGCCTTCTTGGCAGCCAGGGCACACTGCTGGCTCATGGCCAGTTCTCAATCCACCTCACTGACCACTCATCCAGCCCACACTTTCTGAGCTTCCCTAGGAGGATGTTATGGGAGACAGTGTCGAAAGCCTTGCTGAAGTTGAGGTAGACAACATCTGCTGCTCTCCCCTCATCTACCCAGCCAGTCATGCCATAGAGAAAGCTATCAGATTGGTCATGCATGATTTCCCCTTAGTGAATCCAGATAATAATTAGACATGAGCTTAGAGAAATTTACATATGTCAGAACATTGTCAAAAAGAAAGTGCTTTTCAAAGGTTCACCATAGAAAATTCAGTTTTGTATAGACAAGTCGATTTATGTAGAAACCTTGAAAACTCTAGGACGCAAAGTGTTGGCTGCAAATGGGTGGGCAGGTGAGTCTGAGCAGTGTGGCATCTTAAAGACATACATTCTTGACATATACAGAGTTTATTTTAGATTTGCAGAGAAGAGGAATGGGCTGTGGTGGCTGCAGAGGAAGGAATGCATTTCTGATGATGAAAGTATCATCTTATCCTTTGCTGAAGGTTGAAGATTAGAACAGAGCTGGTAGGAATAGGACGTATTTCAGATAGCTTGTTAAAAACAAAGAGGACCCAACGTGACCAAACTGGAAACTACTCTGCCTCCTGATGAGCTGCTTCTTATCATGTGATTTTCTGGGTTTTAAGGTGAACGAAATTATTTAAACAAGTGAGGTGAAGTGTTAAAAGGAGATTATTACTTTGAAAGAAAACCAGAAATATTAAAGCAGCTGTTGAAGATTACATAGTCACGGATCTTCCTGGGGAATGAGTGCAGAATATGTGTGTCTGATATTGAGACAGGGATGGCAAAAACATCACATAAACGCTGAAGAATGAGAAGGAATTTGGGCTGACGTTTCTAGGACAGCTACATACCATGAACAACATTGACATGAAGCAGTAGTTCAAGCACATACTAAACACTTGGAGAACAAAATGTCTATCCCAAACTGCTCTGGAGTCTTTGAGAGAATCTGAGATTGCATTTTGGGGTGAGGGAGCAGGTGATATGAAAGCATAGAACTAAACTACAAGCAATAGGAGTTCTCCTAGACGGCATGATAGACAAGGGTAGAAGACCACTGGAGTGAGTAGCTGTCCTGCATGCCTTTTACTCATCATGATATCCACAGGGAAGTTTTGATCAAGTGTGTCTGTGTTAATGACATGTCAGGACATACTAATTAATGTAAGAGATGGAAGAGTGGGTGGGAGTCATAGGCATAATCCAAATGCTCCAGTAATTTTGAAAATGGATTTTCAAAATTGGTAACCCACACAGAGTCATAATGCAAAGGTACCACCTGGAACAGGAGGGACTTGTACAAGTGTTGTACATAGTGGGTATGTTTGTTACTATGATTCACGTGTTGCAGGAGTGTACTTCAGCTGATGACTCTGCTCTGAGGATCCACACTTGTGACCTGAAAGCAGGGCTCTAGAAGGGTGAGACAGGAAATGAAGGCTCCCCTGTTCCACCTGCGCAACCCCCCCACTGCCTGGGAACTGAGGAGACGAGCACTCTTCTCCTGAACATTTCTTCTGCGGGAAGCAAGTCGTGAGTTTTCAATTGCAAAATATTTGTCTGTGTTTTATTCTGTTTACCATCACATTTCTGAGTGTGCAGAACTGACTCAGGCCAAAGCTATGGTGGAACAGAGACTGTGCTTTTGAAATAAAACTTAACCTAAAAGAATGAAATGCTGGTTTTCTCCTTGTTTCTCCCGAGAAGCATTCAGAGATAGATGCAAAGAGAGTGAAACTGGAACAAGTTTCAGCAAGTGACCCCATCCATTTTTTTCCAACTGGGTGATACTGGGTACCGAATACGAATGCTTATGGGAGAGTGGGACCTGGCAATGCAATAGGGTGCTGAGAGCAGAAACTGGAGATTATGCTAATCATGCCATTAAAGAATTAGAGAACGATGGGCTACTTTATCACTTTTTATTTGTATTTTTTACTCTTCATACACAGTTTCTTGACATTCTTCTGTTATCTGTTTTGTGTAAGTTGCAAAAGCTGTTCTGCTAGCTGCTGAATGGTAGTGTTTCATCAATCTGCTCTGTAAGCCCTAAAAACTCATGGATCAATGTGATACGGCTATGGGATCAAAGGCCGAGTTTCTGAACTCATCCACAGGAACATGAGCTGTAATGCACAAGGGAGATTCTGCAGACCCCACGATTCGTGAGGCAGGGCTCATGAGTCAGTTGAAGTTTCCTTTTCTGATATAATATGCAAGTCCTAAAACAACTCTTTCATTACTTTTTTTTTTGTTCAAAGTAAAACTATATTTCTATTGCTGATGTAATTCCTCTTTAAAAAATACAGTTACATGATAAATCTGGTAAATGTTTAGCAGGTCCTCCATGGAACTAAGCAGATTTCTCTCATCTAAGGACTTGGCTTTGAGAGTTTTTTTAGCCCATCAACTTCATCACAGTTTTACATGCTAAAAATAGTAATCAAATCTAACTAACAAACCTAAAAACTCCCAAATCTCTTTCCCACAGATGATGCAGCTCTTTCAGGTAATACTTGATTTATATATACGTCACACAAATTTGTATACAAACGGTGAGATAAACTTTCAGACAAGCTTCTGCTCTTTGCTCCACCTTGTCTGACTGGTTTTTCATCATTCCCAAATATTGCCATTTTATGATTATAACCCTTTTTTTTTTTTTATATATATTGGAACATTAAAGAAAGTAAAGCAGGAGTGAAGAGTGACCAGAAGATATTTGATAACATATAGACCAAAGATAAAAGGTTCAGTAAACGTGGAACTGCTAAGCATCAGGATTCTTGCAACAGCCCCTGCAAAATACTTGACTTCCCAAGAGTTGCCTGTGTCTAATTGTCATGCTGGAGAAGCTCCCAAGCACTATTTTTTTTTTCCGGGTGAAACTTTTCTGAAGGGCTAGCGTTTCTGTCAGTAGCAGACAGTAGGAATTACCATCGACAAAGGGTCTGTCTGGCTAGATCTTACAGGACTCACTTAGGACTCCTACAGAAAAGGGGCTTAACTTCATCTGTCTGTTTATAAAGAATTATTTTCGTTGTAATGACTTGCTCTTATCCAAACATCTCCAAATGATGTCAAAATAATACACATGAAGCATGTAAGCTTCAGGGAAAAAAATAGTTGGAGAAGATAGAATTTGGATGGCCACCCCAAACACTTCTCAATTATCCCAAAACAACCTCCCGCAACGAAAGCCCTCTTTAGAAATGAGGAAGGACTGGGGTGAAAGGTAGAGGTAAAGGTAGCATCTCTTTCTCAGTTTATCTTGAATCAGGAGGAGGAGACAGTGGGTGCAGCAGCATGTTGAAGAGAAATGCAGACAATTGTTAGCGCAACTGAAAAGTACTTGGGACGTCTGGGGTCAGTTCAAAGCTCCACTGGAGATCTCCTGGGGAGAAAAGGGGAATCCACTCAATCTCCCCGTGACTCAGTTTCTTGCCGACAGAATAGGGAAGATTAGACGGTGTTGTAAGACTAGATGCATGAAATATTGCACAGATTATTAACGGTGCTATAGAGAGGGTTTTTTTCAGGAATACTGCCATGCCTGGAGAGGTTCTGATGCCGCTTTAGCCAGCCCAACAGCATGTTACTCCCTTGCCCAATCTAGTGCACGACCTGTGAAAAGGAGAACAGCAAACCAGATTTACCAGGTACGGTAAACAAGTGGGTGTGGGTACGGTACGGTACGGTATGGTATGGTATGGTATGGTATGCTATGGTAAACAAGCACTCACGTATCAGTGATTCTCCACCTTTTTTAGCAGTGCAGCCTATACACATTTCCTCACAGTGTGCAGCCACCCATACGGCACCTACAGAGCAACTGACCCCAGACCTGTTCTCCATGTGTCCTTTAGATGTCCTCGGCGGCTCCCCTCCTCCTCACCCTGGGACGGCAGCCCCCAGGACTCCTGTGAGACCCCCCCCTCTCTGGGCTGGCAGGAAACCTCTTCTTCCCCTCCAGTTCCCGCTGCCGGCAGCGTTCTGGCTCTTCCCGCAGCGGTGCACCCGGCGGGAGCGGGGCTGCTCCGGCCCCCCCGAGCCCTGGGGGACGCTGGCCGTGGGGTGCCTCTCTCCTCTTTCATGGGTTTCTCCTCCTCTCTCCTCTTTCAAGCGCTTGGGCGAGGTCCGTGGGACTTTCCCAGGTCGTGCGTACAGCACAACGCCTCTACGCCCCGGCCGGGGCATTGCTTAGGAGTGAGGGCAGTACGGTGCTATTGATGCTCATCTCGCCATTCCAGAGCAGAATTGCTTCTTCGACCTCTAGTTAGGTCGTAACAAGGGGAAAATTTCCTGAAATTAGACTACCGCAGGAACTCTGGTTTTAGTCACAGCTGTCATCCGAGAAACAAATTTCCAGGCATTTTTTAATCTAATTCGCTTAATTTTTATGTAACTGAATTAGAAAATGTGATTAAGCATCGCAGAATCTTCGGCATTGAGCCTGCCTAACCTTTGGTGAAACATGAAACAGAGGGACTTAGCAGCAGCAAGAAGAAACGGTGAAATCGTCCGTATGGATTCGGTACAACCGTTACTTACTGAGTAGGAGGATTAGAGGCAGAAAAACTCAAGGAGAGGAATAAAAAAAAAAAAAAGGAAAAAGAGGATAATGACCTTTTTCAGCTGAAATTCTTGCCGCAATTCTCTGGCAGGTATTTCAGGGCAGGCACTGAAAGGCATCCTGCGACACTTGCAGAGGGGTTCGCAGGAACAGCCCTGCCCTGCCCTGCCGCG